TAGGATGCACTCCAACATCCCCTGACCATAGCAAAAGTATTCTCATGCAAGAGAAATGCTATCCCTGTACTAAGCAGAAGAGTCACAATGTACAACACATACCAATGACTGGGTGCCATTGTGCAATGCCCAGCGTTCTTGTATATGCAACTCTACTTCCACCACTGTCAGCAGAATACATCTACCACACCATGGTGAATAATTCACCCCGCATGCATAGCGTGACTTATGTATCCATATATCATGAACAGGTTGCCAGTCATCATTAGAATTTCTCCTATTATTAATGCCAATAAAGGAATAACAAGCAAAACACAACCTCATAAATGAAATAAATGGAAAAGTGATCACTAGGTGCAAGCACTTCAGTGTTATATCACTGATCTATGGTCACTCCCTCTATTTCGCAGGGTGTAGAATCGGCTAGAGAGCTGGTTTTAGACTTACGTTGCCTCGATTGCTATTCTAACTATGATAATTCATGATCCACACAATTGCTAAAGGCTCTTATTAGGGGAATGATAAATTGGGATTGTCACACTGAATACAGTGAGCCAAATTGCCTTTTTAAAAGCAGGAGACATCAGATTATGCAGCTGCAATTTGAAGGCTTCAGCAAAGGGAGATTTTTATTTATTCCTTTAGGAATAGGCTGGAGAGCATTTTCAAACCACTTAAGATTTAATGCCTTCCTCACTGATCGTGTGCGTATGCACGTATACATGGGTATATATGTATTTAAAATTATTACTGTTAATGATAAGGCATATTTTTCCTCATTCCAACATGCTCTTTTCCAAAATTATAGCCAAGATCCTTCATCATCAGACATCACTACAATGATGGAGCTATAACATTGTAGTTATGTCTGTTGACACTTCTGTGCTGCTGTAGGCTGATATAAAAATGTTGTATTTATTAGAGAAATGAAGATAAAATATTCATGTGAGAGACAGCATGGTGTAGTGGCTTGAGTGCTAGACTATGACTCTGGAGACCAAGGTTTGAATCCTGGCTCAGCCATGTAAACCCACTGGGTGACTTTGGACAAGTCACACTCTCTCAGCTTCAGAGAATGGCAATGGCAAACCACTTCTGAGAAGAAATCCCCGTGATAGGTTCACCTTAGGTTCACCATAATTTGGAAATGACTTGAAGACACACAACAACAACAATGTTGTTGTAGTAGTAATAGTAATAAGGTAAGGATCTGCTAGGCAAGTGTGGGAATACAGAATGTTGGGAGTGGCCGGCTGGTTGGGATGTTTAAAAGACTAGGCAGATGCCAGAGGAAGGAAATGACAAAACCATATCTGGGTATTCCTTGCCTATGAAAATCGTAGGAAGACTTTCCTGACAGTAAGAGCTGTTTGACAGTGCAACACACTCCCCCAGAGAGTGGTGAAGTCTCCTTCCTTGGAGGTTTTTCAACAGAGGCTGGATGTCCATCTGTTGGGGGTGGTTTGACACTGTGTTCCTGCATGGCAGGAGATTGGATTGGATGGACCAGTCCATTCTAGGCTGCTTCAATAGAAGTATAGATCAAGGGAAGTAATAGTGCCACTCTATTTTACTTTGGTCAGGCCTCACCTGGAATACTGTGTCCAGTGTTGGGCATCACAATTCAAAAAGATGTTGAGAAGATGGAGTGAGTCCAGAGGGAGGGCGACTAAAATGGGGAAATGTCTGGAAACCATGCCCTATGAGGGACGACTTAGGGAACTGGGTATGTTTAACCTGGAGAAGAGACGGTTAAGAGGTGATATGATAGCCCTCTTTAAATATTTGAAGGGATGTCATATTGAGGATGGAGCAAGCTTGTTTTCTGCTGCTCCAGAGAATAGGACCCGGAACAATGGATGCAAGCTAGAGGAAAAGAGATTCCACCTCAACATTAGGAGGAACGTCCTGACAGTGAGAGCTGTTGGACAGTAGAACAGACTTGGAAAGTGGTGGAGTTTCCTTCTTTGGAGGTCTTTAAACAGAGGCTGGATGGCCATCTGTCGGGATGCTTTGATACTGTGTTCCTGAATGGCAGGGGTTGGACTGGATAGACCTTGTGGTCTCTTCCAATACTACGATTCTATGATTCTACACAACCTTTGAAGAATCAGGAGCCACCTCAAAATTTTTAAACTGCATGCCCTAGTCCCTTCAGGGAGTGTGTCCTCTAGCACCAACCCCAACACTGTGTTCCATTGCTGCTATTGCTACCAAAGGGCCCTAAAAATGGAATATGAGCAGGGAAATCTTCCACTGGGTTGTGTTCCTGCTTCCTCCCACCCCCACACACATCTCCTCCTCAAAAATGGAACATGTCATCCTGGGAAGGTGAACGCAGATGACTTTTCACAGCTGGGTTTGTTTGAGAAAGTGATTGGTTGCCTTTAACTCTCACCGCAAGCTCTCTGATGCCCAAATGGAGAAGGGGGAGTGGGGAGGAAGGCGAGGTTTTTGTACATTTGGTTTCTGAAAAATCTCCCTGTGCTTGGCTGAAATGATAGTCTGTCTCGCTCTTTCCAGAATCACTGCTGAGTGCCTTATGCCTCCCACAGCAGGTCTACGAAAGAGGAAATCTATTTTCCCTCTCTGCTATAATGGAGGAAGAGTTTTCCTGCCATAAATTGCTACTTAGGCCCTGGATTCTCACCGGGTAAATTAGCATTGCTCCTTTCAACTCAGCACAGCCAAACAGATATGTTCCAACCAAGGATCCATTCCTGCACTTTTGCCACAGGTAATTTCTGGCCTGACATACAAACAAGTCTCTGAATAAAAACAGCTTCTAAAGCTAAATGTGGTTTTTGAGGGGTGGGGGTATATATCTATATCGGATGAAACACTGGGAGCAGAAGATGGGGTGGTCAGAAAAGAGGAATGGCTATGATAGATACAGATGAAAAAGAAGGTTTCCAGATTTCTTTATCAGCCTTCATTTCTGTGCATTTGGACTTAGTTGGCACTGAAGGCATCAGTGGATCACAAGACTGGCTTCTGGAGTTGGAAGGAACTGTTCTTCTTGAATCATATGGGAAATATAACAGGGAAGAACTTGTCACCACCCAGAAGTTGTTGGATTGCAACTTTCATCAGCTCCAGGGAGCGCAAAGTGTACCTCAGGTGTACCGCAAATTGTACTGCAGAAATATTCCAGTTTGATACCACTTTAACTGCCATATCTCAGTGCTATGGAATTCTGGGATTTGTTGTGGCATCAGAGCTCTCTGACAGGGAAGGCTGAGTGTCTCACAAAATTACATCCATAGCACAACATCATAGCATAATATCAACAATTTATGATATGTAGATGGCACCATATTACTAGCAGAAAATGGCAAAGACGTGGAATGATTACTGAAGAAAGTCAAGAAAGAAAATGCATTGGTAGGTTTATAGCTGATTGTTAAGAAAACAAAACAAAAATGTCCACAGATAAGTTACATAACTTTAAAATAGACAATAACAACATATTCTCAAAGGTGCTACAAGATCTTTCGACATACTTATTCTACAGACTAACACGACTATATCTTTGAACGACATAGAAACACATGAAGTCGAAGGCTTTCAGGAATAAACTCTTTGTGGAGCATGGCCACATAGCCCAAAAAACACAAAATAAACTAAACATAGAAACAGTTCAAGATTGTCCATACCTTGGCTCAGTCCTTAATCAGAATGGAGATTGCAGTGAAGAGATCAGAAGAAGGCTAGGGCTTGGAAGGGCAGCAGACAAGATCCTGAAGTGTGACAATATATCACTGAATACTAAAATTAGAATGGTCCATGCCATCAAATTTCCCCTTTCTATATATGGCTGTGAAAGAAAACTGATAGGAAGGAAATCAACTCATTTGAATTGTGGTTCTGGAGAAGATTTTGGTGGATACCATGGGCTACTAAAAAGACAAATCAATGAGTCCTAGAGTTCACGCTAGAGGCCAAGATGATTAAACGGAGGCTGTTATTCTTGGCCATATCATGAGAAGACATGATGATTCACTAGAAAAGGCAATAATGCTTGGTAAGATGGAAAGGAAAGAGGAAGACTGCATTCCAGATGGATAGATTCAATCAAGGAAGCCACAGCCCTGAATCTGTAAGACCTGAGCCAGGCTGTTAATAACAGGATGAGTTGGAGGTTTCCCATTCATAGGGCCGCCATGAGTCAAAGTCAGCTTGACAGCAGTTAACGGCAACAAATGTCCCAGTAAAGCAAAAAACAGAGACAGCTATCTCATTAGACTGGGAAAGGGGGCACTATCTTGTCCCTTGCTTTAGACAACAAAACAGCTTGGGTGGCCCCGTAAAAGGTGACATATCATGATTTTGTTGTTGTTTATAGGAAAGATAAGCCCTGAGTGGAGGTAGTGAGGACAATGCTAAAAGTCCCCTAAGAAGAGAAGATCAAAGAAGCACTTGATAGCTGTCTCTGAAGGACTGTCACACAGAGATGGAGATGAAATGAAGAAATGGCAGGGGAGCAGATCTTTGCCTAGACTTCCAGAGGAACTTCTTAATGGTAAGAGCTGTTCATGGAATAGACTGCCTTGGGAGGTGTCAAGGTCACCTTTGTTGGAGGGACTTAAGTAGAACCTAGATAAGGATGCTGTGGATCAAGAAGTGCCTTTTCTCCCCAGAGTTGAATAAACAAATCTTCTGTATTGAAACAGGAACAATTTCTTTAAAAAAACAACATAAGTGTTAGTAGGAGGACATCTGAAGACAGAAGTGCCATCATCCACATACATTGGCATAACATTAAAACAATGTCCCACCCTGCAAACTTTGCAGGCTTCATCTTAATTCATTGACCAATTTAAACATATCAACCCTTTCTACTCTATTAGCCTCATTCACCCAGTTCCCTACTCTACTGCGGGTCTATGTATTTTTAATTGTTTGAACATGTTGTACCCCACTTTGAACCTTGAAGAGAGATAGGAAAGAAATAATAATAATAATAATAATAATAATAATAATAATAATAACAACAACAACAGCAATATACTTTCTTGACTTTCTGGTTTCCTTAAGCAGACTCTGAGAAAATTCCTTCCCCAGTCATCTGCACATTCTTGCACCAGTCAATGAGTATCCCTTTGAACCACCACCAATTATTTACACTAGTACTATGCCTCCCATCATTCTCATCATATCCCAACATATTCTAACATTCATATATTTCTTCTACATTTCTAAAACACTAGAACACCCAGTTGAACATGCTTCTACATTACAACAATACCCATCTTATGACAGAATATGGCAGATTCTGACCCTGTGGTTGCATCTTGCACTGGGCAGAGTACTGGACTTGATGATTTTTAAGGGCTCTTGTAATTACATGATTCCAAGAAGAACCTGGCTAGCCACCATTGGAAGCAGGGATATTGGGTTAGATGGTTTGATGCAGAAAGGATCTTGCTATGTCCTCATGGCAACCAATTTCTAAAGGCCAGTTTCCCCATCATTTTTTGGAACCAGGGGAGTTTTAATGGGAGAAGAAACTTGTCTTCGTGACTAATTTAACTTCCACTCAGGAAGCGAAAGCTGATGTGGCATCAAAAGGCATTGACAAGGACAGCCAAACCCTGTTGTAAGGTTGCAGGAGCAGATGCATCACAAAGATCTCATTTCTTTTGAGCCTTGCTCGACGCTGTTCATATATTAATCTTTTAATCTTATTAGCATTGTCAAGAACTGAAGGGCAATTTCAAAGGTTCAGAAACAGCCCGATTCTAGTTGTGCTGGGGAAAGGAAAACAGATGAAGCTCTCTTGCTGGGATCAAATGTCACAGTCAAGCCATGGTTCTGGATGTCAGTACTGACATGACCTTCCTTTCTTGTAAAAGACCCCAGTTCTGCTTTGGGCTCCACAGCTCCTTTGAGTAACAATTTTTATATAAGTATGTAGAGAGATCTCATAGCACCTTTGAGACTAACCATAAGAAAGAAGTTGGCAGCATGAGCTTTCATAGACTTAAGTCTACTTCATCAGATGCATTTGGATTCTACAGACT